ACACACACACACACACACACACACACACACACACACACACACACACACAATAACAAGGTCGGACTCAAGCGTGGGTCTGATTATTAAAAACATTGCAGTCGGGCACATCTGTTACCAGGCAACTGCCAGGATCTGACTGCATTAATGGGCTTTAAGACGGCAGCTTTTAAGAAGGTAGGACACAATAACATGTGTCCTAACTATAAAACATCAATGCTGGGATTTGCTGTAATAACTGAGACAAATGCCAATCAATATAGTCACATATAGTGTAATAGAGACAGCAAAGTTCAAAATATTCCCTTTTCATCAGTGTTTTGGCCCAAGCAGACATTTCATCACCATTAAAAACTCGTATTATTTTCAAAACTGTTTTTAGCTTGAAGGATGCATTTCAAACAGTCTGTGAGGACTGATCAGGATGCCTAGATATGTTCTCTTTTATAATCCCCAGTCTCTGTAATCTGCAATTAAGGAGAGAGTTTAGTATTCATAACACTGTGTTTGCTTTGGTTAAGAATGACCTTCCTCAGCATCTGTGTGAGGAGAGAGAGAAAGAAAGAGCGCTAAGGAACAACAACATGGCTTTGCTCTGACACTGCACCTTCTCACTGGTTAAATACGTAGCTTTATTGTCAGACGTCAGAAAATACGATACTGCAATCCTGTAAATAATAAATAATGTAGTCCTGCCTTTAAATTAAAAGAGTCAATCAGCTCATCCAAATACATACTGAAGTACAATTAGTCAATCAGCTCATCCAAATACATACTGTGCATTTAAGTACAATTTTTTTAAAGATGGTTGCTTAAATGCTCTAATATTGTCTTTGCTGATATATATTTTACTAAAAAAAAAAAAAAAACATAAAACAGGTATTTGATACTAGCAACAGGTTTTATAATTAAGGTTATACAATGAAGCAAGTAAACCACGAGAAAGAGAAACCTCTAGAAGCGTCTTTCTATTCTCTCATGTAATTCACCAATTCAACAGATGTTAAGTGTGTTTAGATGATTTATATGTCAGCATCTGTTGATCTGTAAAGTGAACCCTTTAAAGATTCTTGCAACTATTATCACTATATATCAGTTTCTTCTTGATATGTTTCATAGAATATTCTTTTTGTGGGTAAATTATTGAGGTTTTTATCCACAAGTGCCCAAAATCTCTAATATTCTCTAGAATTTTAAAAGCTATGCTTGACAGCCAGGCGAGCACTACGATCGTCATTGGAGTTGGGAGTAGTGCATGTCAAGGATTCTGATTGCTTCAGACCGGGTGCAAAATTTTTAAATCTCAAACTGCATAACAATGAAATTTCGACTGAATGCTATTTCAAGGACAATGACATTTAAAGTTTAAGTACTTTTGTCAGTGTTAAAATACTTTCTCCTCTTAATGTTTAATATGCAGAAACAGCAAGCCATTTATAGATTAGCTTGTCAAAAAGTTTGACATATCAATTTACAGCTCAACCAATGGTGTGACTATCTATTTGTCCAAACTGCACTGTAAAAAAATGTTGGTAAAAGATTGGAATTATGAAAAATGTGGAACTTTTACAGAAAAAAAAAAAAAAAAAGTACAAATGCTACAGTAAACCCTATTGATTGCAAATTACCATATACGGTGAAAAACTGTATATGCTTTAACATCCAATTTATTCTGTGGTTTTGCAAGTACATCTATTAATTATTATACAATTTACAGTGTTAAAAACAACAGTTAAAGAACATTCCCAGATGTCATGACATCACATATGACTATATTTCAGCATCACGTATAATACCCTGATGGTGTTTTGTCTGTGTGTGTGTATGTGTGATCCTTTGCACTGTCAATGGGTAGTGGCCGTTTTTATGTACAGACCACTTGCTATAAAATCTGATTTACCATATGGTTTTCTGTTGTACCACTTGCATTATTATGATTTATGATTGATCACTACATTTAGATTGGTATAAGTGAAAAAATATATATATACAGGCACCAGTACGCCATCCCATAAAACCTGAAACATTGTCACCATACTGTATTTTTACAGTGAATTTCTTACAACTGGCATTTTTTTAACCATAATTTTAACAGGATATGTTTTACAGTGCAAAGCAGATTACTTAGAAATAATTTGCAATTCCATTTGATGATAGTGGTGCAGAAATTCTATATTCACCTAAGCAGCTGTTGACAATAAGCAAAGAGTAAAGTGCCTCTCATGAGCAACTTAATAGGCTTCTAAGTGTCTGTTCATGAAAAGAAATCCCTCACTGGCAAAACAAAACCACTGACAAGGCTTGTTTACTCTCCAAGCTGAAAAAAAAAACATAGCTGGCCCCTGTAACTCTCCAAACACTCTTTTAAATCTTGTGTGTAAAGGTGAATATGGCATGCTTTTGTAAACATCACAAGTCCTGACTCCTAAAACCCCTTCAAAAAACAGTCTATGAATAGACTGAGTTCATCTCCTTTTAACAAAAAAACAAACAGAAAAAAAAAAAACGCTAGAGCCAATTTCATTAAGCTCCTGCTTCAGGGCAGACATAAGCGCTTTAGTTGAAGTGATGTGACAAAAATGAGAAGACCTGAAAACAATTAGTATGCTAATGGAACAAATTCAAACTCCTTGACTTCACGTTACATGCACTGGGAAAAAAATGCCTGTCTGTGGTAGATATGCTGTCCTTGTTGAGACACAATCATGACAAAATAGCAAGCCAAAAATGAACAGAGACGACTATTGTGAGAGGTAGGGAATCACTATGTAGTTGCTAAGGTGAGTGTGTTTTTAATGAGTTGCAATGCCTTGGCTAGGCAGTTCTGGGTGGTTTACTGGCCTAAAGGTGTGGTCACATTTACTGTTGTTCAGCAAATTTTCGCAGGTGTAATAGAGTCAGTTCAATAGGAATACACATGATCTGGAATTTTGTGTCAGGGCGAAAGATTTCCACACAGATTTTGCAAATTTGTTGCATTGACCAAACAAACTTTTGTGTGACCTCTATGCAATGTTAACAAAAATGAATAATTCATTTTCATTAATGCACTTAATGCTGAAATCAAACAGGAATTGTGTGCGCTAAAAAAAGTAAGAAAAAACAATGAATTGTCAGGTGCGTAAACAAAAAGAAGTTTAGTGTGAGTGACGTGACATGTGGCCAGGTATGGTGACCCATACTTGGAATTAGTGCTCTGCATTTAACCCATCCAAAGTGCACACACACAGCAGTGAACACACCGTGAACACACTCCCGGAGCAGTGGGCAGCCATTTTTTTTGCTGCGGCGCCCGGGGAGCAGTTGGGGGTTCGGTGCCTTGCTCAAGGGCACCTCAGTCGTGGTATTGAAGGTGGGAGAGAGCGCTGTACATTCACTCCCCCCACCTACAATCCCTGCCGGTACGAGACTCGAACCCACAACCTTTGGGTTACGAGTCCGACTCTCTAACCATTAGGCCACGATTTCCCAGCCAACCAAGTAGCTGAAGTTGTCCGCACACTGAAAAAATATAATCAGACCAAAAAAGGTCTATCAAAAATATATTTTATTTTCCATATGCAAAAGTGAAAAAGTGACAAAAGTGCAAAGCAGGCCCGGATTGGCTAATCGGGAGCACCGAGAGGATTCCCGGTGGGCCGGTCTGTTTTTTGGCCGCGAGGGCCGGTGTTGTCATGCCACTGGGTTGAACTATGCTGTTCCTAGGCTGCCTGCACTCATAGCAGCCCCACTCTTTTTATTTATTTTCTCACAGGCCATATTATTATTTTCACCAGATCATATCCGTAACAAATTCTCAATTGATAACTAAAATAGACTGTGATAATTAATCATTCTTTTTGCGAAAATCATTGTTTTATTTGTGAACAGAGGCGTTTGAGGAAGGCTTTAAGACCAAGCGGAATTCTCTGCCGGCTGCTCCCGCTTCACAGCGAGCGGGACTCGCGCTAACTGCACCCTTCACCGTCCACTTTTTTATTTGACAAAATCAGTTTGGGCGAATGCAAACAACTTATTGATCATGAGCCCAACATCCAGCACGGCAGGAAAACATTTAATCTACCTGAGGGAAGATGTCTTTCATTATAAGTTAATGCTGTTAAATAGAGAGGGGAAAAAATGCATTACAAAAAAATACATAAAAAATGTAATAAAATAAAATAAATACTTCTTGCGTAGGCTATTCTTAAACTTGGACCTCATTATTGAAGTAAATTTCATGCCATTTGTAATTTCACAGTATTTTCACCTCCTCAATTACACGTGTGAAGTCACAATTCTATAATGGTACAATTTACTCAGGCCGATGACATTTTTTGTATGACATTTAAAATTATCTTTAGAATAATTGTACATAAATAGGTTAAGCAAAACAATTGTGATTATTTCTGAGAACTTTTTAGCTGCAGGCAGACTTGGGCCTACATTATGGTACAGTACAAATATTTGGAATGTCCCTTATTCTGTCCCTTATTTTCTACAAGAATAAACACTATTTTCTTAAAGAATAAGATAAAGGATCACAATTGTCCCTTATTTTCCATTTCTTATGTTAATTGGCAACAATGACGTAATTATCTTTTGACTCCCCTGACAGCGGAAACTTGCTCAAAAAAAAAAAGAAAAGTAATTGTTGGAGATATGCGAACAAAAAAATAATAGATAAAAAATGTATAATAGAAAGCGCACTGAAAAGGCCAGTAAAAAAAAAAAAACTAAGTGGGCCGGTCTAAGGCATGAAACTCCAGGGCTGAAAATGAGTCCCACTCCAGCCCTGGTGCAAAGTGTCTTAAAAACAGACCAAAGAGCAGACGTTTCAGCCCATGCTTTCTTCAGTGCTTCAGTGCAATAATGCTGAAATAAACTATAAGATGAAAAAATCAGAAATGTTGCCTGAAATGAACAAACTCAATAACTCAAATAAATGTTTATGCTGAAGCACTAAAATGACTTCAAACTAAAATAAAAAAGCTAAACAGAAATATTAAAAAAGAGAAATAATAAAAATGACAAAAGTACTAAAACTTAAACTAAAATGAATATGCTAATGCGACCACACTAAGTCACATTTTATGTGAGAATGTTTAATGAAAAAAAAAAGTATGGCCAGTAGAAATTGTGACAAGGAAACACTGCTAAAAATACTTCAACTTATTTCTTCCTGTTGGCAGCTGTGCTAAATTATTTGGATACGGCTTTAACAGTAACAAATTTGTGATTAATATTTAGGCCTCTGCACAACCGTTTTTTTTTTAAAACCTTACTCCTTAATAGCCTTACTCCTCCCCTCCTCTTTTCTTTCTTTTCGAGGTAATTGCCTGATCTCTAATTCCACCCAAGGCTCATCTCCCAGACAATCAAGCCTGGTCCTTTACTCCGACCTGGGCACATACAGAGCCCTGACTCTGAAGTAATCATTTCACCAGGGAGAAGAGATAACCAAACAATCACCATTAACCCTGAGCCTTTGCTGTCTCTCACTTCTTTTCCGAGATGCGGAAGAAAAGAGCTCTCCAATCACACTGATTCTGCTAATAAATATCATGCCTCATCCCTGCCGAGCTCCGCTCATTAAAACCACAGATGTTTGCTCGACTGGCGGATGGCTAATATCTCAGCTAGAAGGTGCGTGTCCTTTCTGGTTGTTATGTTATTCAATAATGCGACTCGAGGATCGATATGATGCCATCCGACTGTCAAGCTTCTGAGAAGACCTTCTTATGCAGCCGTTCAATTAGTGTTTGTGTTAAAGCAGCTTTTCAGTAGGAGGACCTGGGCTGAAAACAGGCGACGGGTGTACAAGCTGATTCACAATGTTTAGCCCTGCAGTGATTCAGTGAGAATAATGGTGCTACATTTCTAGCATAATAGTCTCACACTCACTTTCTCCGAGACACGAGGGGACGACAAGGCTAGAATATGCATGCAGAGAAAGTCGATAGTGATTTAATCAACAAGATTGGCTGTTGAATAGAGTGCATCAAGACTGAAAGCTTCTAATAGTCTCATGTAGACAGACCTTTGACCATCTATACAAAGCCTTTTCCTCAAGTTATTCTGGACAAAAACTGCTCACTTAGACAGGAATGAGTCATCTGGTCAACATATCTTGTTTACTTGCTACTAATAAATCCAGCCAATCAGTTTAAAGCTTAGTGTTTTTATTTTTATTTATTTGTTTTTTTGAAAGCTCTCGTAATTTTTTCATGCAAAATCTGCTTGAATGCGTGACATCTGAGGCTAAAGGTGTGTGTATGTATGTATGTATGTATATATATATATATATATATATATATATATATAAAAATAATATAATAAT